GACCATCACAGTCTTTTACTAACTGCAGGATTTAAACGGGGATGCAGTTGATCAAGGTTAGAAAAAAGTTGATCAAGGTTAGAAGCTGACCAAGGTTAGAAAATCTTTCTAAATTTTTCTAACCTTGGCTAACTTTTAGCCCTTAGAGATATAATATACTATATTATTATATAATATAATATTTTTATGCAAGTTTTTTAGTATATACCTAGCATATGCCTAGCATATGCTACTAAGCCTATTATAAAAAGATAGATTATCTTATTAGTTATTTAATGCTATTTACCCTTATATATATCTAGTATATACCTAGTATATACCTGGTATATACTAAGCATATGCTAGGGATATGCTAGGTATATACTTATATATATATTACTATACTTTATAATTATATATAAATATATATATATAATAGTAAGTAGTATTCATATAAGGTAATCTACTATATATATAGTAGTATATACTAAAGAACTTTTATAAAAATATTATTTTTATGAAACTATAGTATATTTTATCCCTAAGGGCTAAAAGTTGGCCAAGGTTAGAAAAATTTTTTCTATAGGGAATCTAAAAAGCTGGCCAAGGTTAGGTGGGGCAAAATTTTTCTAACCTTGGCCAGCTCTTCTTAGCTAAAATTTTCTAACCTTGATCAACTTTTTTCTAACCTTGGTCAACTGTAAGCCCGATTTAAACCACAGGTACTTAATATAGCTGTAGCCAGGGCTTATACCAGCAGACAGCTCTTCATACCCTGCCAGTAGTCTACCACTTGACTACCGGTCAGCATTTTTTCACGTGTAATCCTCCTCACAAAAGTCATCGAAAATCCAATTTTCTTCGATTCTTGCTCTCTCCTCCTCTGTTTCAGCCGCACCAAGAGCGTCTGCTTTTAATTTTCTCTCGCGTCTTTTTGCTTCATCGTAGTGTGCAACGGGCACCCATCCCTCATTTCCAACTCCAATTGCTTCCTGGCAAGCCTGAAATTGTCCATCAGCTTCGGATTGTGCCCGTTCCAGTCGCAGATATTCGCTCGACTCGTCATCTGAAAAGAATATTGGGCAAGATTCTGTCGCATCCGGGTTTACCTCTCCCCAATTTCTCGACAGTGTAACTAAATCGGCTTTCAAGGTCATATTGTCGCCTTCCCAGGGGTCACTGGCATGATGAAAAAGCCGCCGCCTTAGAGCGCTGAAATGATAGGTCAAGGCATCGTAATGCTCCGAATTCTTATCCGCTGTCAATTTGACATAGAGATAGTGAAGTTGACGCTTGCGAAAAAGCTCCGCATGCTGGAATTGTTCTATCTCCTCTAATTCATCAAAGTTGCTTGGCAAAGTAGGGGTTTGCAGTGATTCCGAGATCTCGTCGCCGTAATTCTGAAGACTTTGTGGGATGCCGGATTGCAGAAATAATGGAAGAACCGTACTGTGCTGCCAATCAATTAACCCTTTTATTTCTAGCTCATTGGACACAAGTATGTTGTTGGGTTGAAGATCGGGATGTCGTATGACCGGACGATGAAGGGCAGGACAATCACGCGATATGAGGTGAGGCGCAATTTTTAGATATTTCTCCAGATTCGCAATATGTTCAAGGTGGGACTGGGCCTGGTAATTGTACACCTCTCTGCGAAGACGCTGAAATGGCTGAAGAGCTCGCCCAAATCTTTTAAGATATGCAATCTCTTTTGTGGCTCCGGCAGTGAGAACAGCTAAAGAATCTCGGTCTTCCACAATCGAACTGTCAACGTCTCTTGCGCATTTAGATATTTCAATCCAGAGGATACTCACATGGTCCGCGCTCAACCGATAAGTCGAGTCTTTTCCCGTACCATAATCCAAGCGAAGTATCGGGGCCAATACAGAAGCGGCGGGTCGAGCTGGGGCTTGGAACAATGATTGGGTAGTCATGGGCCAGCAAATCATCGTAGTAATAGAGACTTCCACTTGCTGGGAAACGTAAAGCAAATAGACGAGACTCTAGCTGCACGAGCTTTGTGACCAGCGTTATCCTCTCCTGTTCAGACAAAGTATACCAGATATCACCTAGACTTTGTCCTTGGACAAGTTCCATGAAGATGTATTCTGTACCCGCAGAATTATCCGCAACGGCAGAGTAACCGAAAATTGTAGGGACTGGAATGCCATGAGAACGGAGAAAATCGATCGTTGCGACTTCACTTGCGACCACTAGGGATTTTGGCTCGGTGACAGGGTAAGGAATTCGTGCAACAAATTGGAAGCCGTTTCGCATGGTGATCTTAAAACTTCGGTTGAAACCCCCTTCGGCAAGCTTCTCGAAACCAGCGACGTCGTCTTCCTTCTGCTGAACCGCTAGGGCAGCAAGACGCTTCAGTTCAGAGACGTTGAAAACACGTCTCCTCTCACGATGTCTCAAAGCGTCATTATAGCTAGAGTCGTACATCAATCGAGCAATTCAACAAGAAGGAGGTGCTGGCCCGCAACATACATCCATCGTCCGGTCGTGTACTCGAACAAGTCACAAGGTTCAGGCATCTTTTGGATTGTCGAAAGGGCACGTGTGGGGGCTAAGCTTGTCTTGCGGGGGGCGGCGTGTAACTGGAGAAGACTGGGAAATATTGTGCCATGTAAACGCTTAGCCATGGTAGGGGATAGCGAAAGCCAGTGAGGGTAGAATGGACAAGCAGAGCTGTCACAAGCACGCATGGCCCTTAAATAGGGATGGTATTTAAAATGTCAAAAGTATTTTTGTTAGAAAAAAGTGAAATCTACTAGTGAAATAGGGGAGGATTTAACTTAGGTGACTTACCCCCCTAACATAAAAAGAATTAGTAGAAATTACTGAAATTTATACTGGAATTTGAAGCTTTTTAGGCCTAGGAGATATTGAATCCAACTAAATTTTAGGTGTAAAATCTGATTTTAGGCTTCCTAAGGCTGTTTTCTAATGTCATAGCTAGGTAATCAGGGTAATACAAATACTAATAGATATAAGCATATAGCTCAGATATAGAGGTATATCCTCCTCTTATTCTCCTACTCTAGCTCCTTTCTATTAGATATAAATAAGGAGATAACTATACTAGTTAGTATATATTATACTATACCTAAATAGGTATAGTAAGTAAGTATATTATTAATATAGTAAATACTACTCTATAATACACCCCCCTAGCTTAGATACTAACTAAGCTATAGGCTCCTATCTATCTTAGTTAACTAATATATTAACTCTATCTAGATCCTTTAGATTTAGTATTATAATAAATCTCTATAGTCTCTCTCTATATAATACCTTAGTAATACTATTAGTACTTATATTATATATATTAATCTACCTAATATTTATCTCCCTAGCTTGTATCTTCTCCCTTAACTAATATTAGTAAATATTAATATAGTAAAGCTTTATAGTAATATTAGGATTATTATTTTTTATAAGTTAGACTATCTATTAATTATTATACTATATAAAGATAGATAGATATTTATAGATTAAATCTAATCTCTTTAAATAACCTCTTTTATTAATATAGCTATTACCTAGTATCTAATAAAGCTAGTAGTACTAGTTTTATTAATAATATTATAACTATATATTATCTTACTACCTTCTAATCTACTACTCTACTGAATATCTTAAAGAGATATTTATATTAATCCTTATTATCTATAAATATAGTATTACTAGTAAAGGGCATAACTTCTATCTCTATCTATCTATTATATTCTAGTATATACTTCTTTATACCTAATAGATACTTTACTATCTATCTTACTAGTATTATATATATTAATAATAGGTTATAGAGGAACTTAGATAATCTAGAGAATTAATATTAAAGAGATTAAATATCTACTTGAAATGAGTATTATGAAATAGGCTAAAAGGCTATAATTAATAATCTTAAAAGATATCTTCTATTAATCTCTTATCTTCAAAGATAGATCTAATACTATTTATAGTATTAGAATATTACTAGATAAAGATTTTATATTCTTAATAGAGATACTCTTATTAGTACGACTAAGAGATATAAGAAGCTATAATTTTTAAGTAATACTTATAGATAGTTTAGATCTAGAAGATTAAAAAAATTAAGATTTATTAATCTCTATATAAATTTACCTTATTATTAATAATAATAACTTTCTATTAATTCTTTTTTATAAGAAAATTAATAGAACTATACCTCCTAGAGCTATTACTATCTATATTTACTACTTAGTATTTAGTAATTATCTTATAATAATATATATTTTTAATAAGATATAGTAGTATCTCCTAGTTAACTATAGTTAACTACTAGTATTATATGATATAGGAATCTATATAATTTAATTAGTTACTTTTTAACATCATGCTCTTCTATTAGCTAGAGGCCTAACGTATGGTATCTACTTTTCTTATATAATATTTATTAGATGTCAGGGAAAAAATGGCCTGTCATTTATCATTTTGACATTTATAAAAAATTTTTGTTAGACACCATCCCTGGTCGACTGTGTTGGCCTTTTTGGAGTCATGCACAATCTGCCTGTGAAGGTTCACGACCTATTTCTCCGAAAAGATAACAGCCTTCCCCGTCCGGAGTTGCTGGATGTGGCATCTCAAACCGCTTGTCCGGATTAAGTCTTGCTCGTCCGGCGATCCCCCACTGAGATTGGAACAATGCTTGACATACCAATGCTTGACATACCGCGCGGAGGGTGCCGAATAACCGTTACGTTCCTATCAGTGTCTTCAAACGTCCTCCGTCTCGTCGTGACGTCCTTCCTGCCCCCCCCCCCCCTTCAAATTGGTTTCCGAATGTAGAATACTTCGCGAAGTCCGGATCCGTAGCGGAGCAAGATGGACTGCACGCTGTGATACCAGCTGCCATGCTGCCACGGTCAACACAGGAAGCAACATAAATATCCCAGATCGAGGCATCTTGCCGAGCACTGACACAGATAGACCTTGTCAAGTGACACGATATTATCTACAGTATCCACCCATACTACATCTACGTGGCAATGGAGGCCCCCATCCAACCCACCCCGGCCCATCGTCCGGCTGAAACCCAAGTTCAAGACGAGTTTAGTGGGACCGAAGGAGTCTACCTCCTACCCCATCACCACGAGGAGATTGAGCGCCTGCAACGCCAACACTATTTCCTCAAGGCCGCCACGGACGACAAGCTAACCCCTATCAACCTGCCTACATGGGCTAGAGTGCTTGACTGTGGCTGCGCAGATGGTGAGTTTGGCCTGCGCGCCCTCTTTCTGTCTTGCATGCATGATCCGCCCACGCGGCCGGCAGAAGGAATCGGGGCTAACGCTAGGCGAAACCGGCAGGGACATGGCTCGCGGACTTGGCGGGCTCGGACAGGCCCGATCTAGCTCTTCACGGGGTGGATCTGGGCAAGGCGCTGTTCCGGTCGGATGCTCATCTCACCCTGCGTGAACATGATGTGCGGCAGCCCTTCCCCCCGTCGTGGGGCTGGAAGGGCAGTTTCGACCTGGTGCACCAGCGGCTGCTGGTCTGGGGCATTGGTGCGGACGAGTGGCCGCAGGTGCTGGCCAATTTGGCTGAGGTCGTCAAGCCTGGCGGCGTCCTGCAGCTGGTCGAGGCGGAGTGGGTCCTGAGCTCGTATTCTGACAAGCAGGTGCAGCAGAAGAAGCTGGCCAAGGTCCAGGAGTGGTCGACCGCCTCGTCCGGCATGGACGTCCACATCTGGAAGAAATTTCCCGATCTGTTGCTGCCGCTGGGATTCGAGGATATGAAGGTGCAGACCTACGATCTGGGCTATGGCGCCACCTCCAAGAGGCCCGAGGACCGCATCTGGACAGCTGAGCTGCTGCCACAGTCCTTCCGCCACCTGGCCCGCAAGATCCCTGGTACGTGACTATATTGCTATATACCCCGCGTGGGCGACAGGTCGATTATGATTCAGTCCATGCATGACAAAGACGAATGTGCCACTGACTGAGACCTCCCCACAACTCTAGCTGAGGGCATCCCAGGCGTGGCCCGTACACCCGACGAGTATCTCGCGTGGTTGGACGAGCTCGTGGTGGAGATGAAGCAGATAGGCTATACGCCCAAAGTATGATGGCTTACGGCGCACAAGATCTAATGGCTTGGATTCGATCCTCTTCAACGGACCGAACTGTTCCCGTGTGTCGGATTTCTTGACTTCTGATGACTGAAGTTAGTGAGGGACGTTTTCTTTTCTGGTCCAAGTGGGTTCAGATAGGGGTAGCAGGTTTCTTAGGTGGAGCCAGGTCGCTGTTAATAATGATTCAAGGCGATTATCCTTCCCGTAATGGCTCTCCCGTGTCGCATTGTGAGCAGGAGACTGGAGAGGTTTTGACAACGGCCCCCATGTGATGGGAATATGAGACTCTGCGTCATGTCGTACACACTAAGGTAGATCAAGAATACCAGCAGCGTCTTTCCATTGGGAGATAACATCGCCTCAGGCGTGCTTTCTCACTCCGAGACACTAGGGATAGAGTGGACCAGCTGTCCATAAGTCCAGGCCTGCTATTATTGGCCCTGATAGGGCCGATATCTGCTCCAACGAAGATCAGCCGTGCTCGGAAATAGACAAACAGAATGTTTCCAAGGTTACATTATTAATCGTATCTCACGACTATCCAGCTGATTAATGCACAATATCGAACTATTGAACTATCTCGCATGGATTTAGCATGAATCAAGATGAGCACGCCATGCAAGGCGGCCACTAAACCCTGCACTCTTTCCTTCCACGCGAGACGGCATTGCTTAGCGTAGCTTTTTCATCCCTGTCCTTCTTCACCTTGCTCTCCCAAAGTACCGCTGTCTATTGTGTATTGGCTGTTCTTTCCTTCGAGGCAGCACGGCGGATATCGAAGGTTCAAACCGACATCATGGTGGTCCGGGTGGCTTGCCCTGTCTTTGTCCGGAGTCGATGATTTGGCTGCCACGTTGCATTTATACCGGCCCCTCCCGTGCTTGTCTGTGCTTTTTTCATCCCTTTGTAACCCCCTTGATGTCACAATTTGACCATGCCGGGATCGGAGCCATCCAACGAGGCTCACATGTGCGACTTGTGCTTCAAGACCTACCAACGACGTGAGTTGCCGGCCCGTCTGTCTTTGTGACTCGATCTTGCGGTGGCCAGAGCTGATATCTAGACTCAATGCCTTCAAGGGGATCTCCTCCTCCGCCATCGACGACGGTGTCTGCGATCGAACAAACCGGCAATGCGCCGCAAAGCGTGCAATGCCTGTGTCCAGGCCAAGACCAAATGCTGCTATACACAACCGACCTGCTCGCGATGTGCCAAACGAGGCCTCGCCTGCGAATACGTTTCCACGACCAACCCAGCGAACCCCATGCCCTCCGCCGCTTCCGCCTCGTCCTCCTCCCTCTCCGCCAACGAGCCTCCCAGACCGGATGAAAATCGCATGGACACGACCGACTCCCCGTCGCTATGGAACCGTCGCAGCCCGCTCGGCAGCTCCGGCGCCGACAGTCTCGACTCGTGGGGCTCCCAGAACTTCTTTTGGAATCTAGATACCATCGATCTTCCGTCATTGCCCTCCTCGTCCACCAGTGTCGTCAATGAAGTGACCCTGGGCCCGACACCGGCCATCCAGACCAGTCATCCGAGCCTCACATTTCCACTCACTACACCTCCGTCGCAACCGTCGTATAGTATGCTGCTCGACGAACCTGCCATGGCGCCGCCGGGTCCCGGCGTCCCCGATCTGTCTACGCTGACCGGCCTGGCCACGCGGGAGACGAACGGCTCGCCTCAGGCCTTGCTGTCTATCCCTGACGCGCCGCGAGCGCGCGCGTCCAACAATATGCATCTCCTTCTACAATATCGCAAACTCCTGCTGCAGGAGGATTTCTACTGTCCGTTCCTGCACCGGACCCTCTTCAATGAGCACGTGCCGGACATGACCATTCTACCACAGACATCCATGGCCATTTGCTGCGGAAGTGCCTTGGATGTCAAAGACGCCGCGGGTTATGTCAAGCGAGCGATGGATGCGCAGCGACAGAGCCTGATTGAGTCATACGTAAGTGTTCCAAATCGCAGACAAACTGTAGCGTACTGATATTGCTGTTTCTAGCCCACATACCACTGCATGGAACAGTGGGACGCGCTGCATGCCATGCTCCTCTACGAGATCATCGAGATGGGCGTGGCGCCGGTCGACGAATCCGAAACATGGAAACGGAAGCGCCGCACGAAGGGACTGAAATCGCCCTTCCTCTCCAAGATGACCCAGTGCTTCTCGCGGTCTTACCTTGAGTCGCACGACGCCGCCCTCCTACCTATTACCGACGGTAGCGGCTCCTGGGTCAAATGGGCCGTGACCGAAACCGCCCGCCGCACCATCTTCCTCGCCAACATCGTCAACTTCCTCAGTAACCGCGATCTCGAATCCGGGCGCCAGTCGCCCTACTACGAGCCCCTCAACGACGAGCTTATCATGAACATGCCTCTGCCCTGCAACCAGGCGCTGTGGAGCGCCCGCACCGAGGACGAATGGCGCAAGGCCACGCAGACGGCCAAACCTACATCCCCCACCATCAGCGCAGGCGCCGCCGACCCGTTCGCTGCCTTCGGCACGGCTTCGGTTGTGGCGGGTAACTCGAGCGCAGCTCCGCATATTCCCGTCGGAGAACAGCTCCTGAATCACCATGTCCAACCCTCGCTCAAGCTGCTTTTCTCCAAGTTCGCCAAGGACTATCTACGGGCGAATTTTGCGAAGAGTGCCGGGTTTGCCGAATCTGATGAGCTCCGGTCGTTCATTATACTTTGCGCATTGGAGCAGTTTCCGTAGATATGTTGCAGCGGGTCATCCGATCTGGGTTCTGATCTGGTCATCACCGGCATAGAGACAGTTCCTGATGATGATAGACCACGAGTGTAATGTAACGCTGACGATTTATACGGCCCCATGTATGAGCAACGTGTCATGAGTGTATTCTTGGATTTTACGTCTTCTACGCTACTTTTCTGGTTCAGCTGCGGCGGGTATCACTCTTCCATTAAACAGAATGAACGACAATGTCAAATGTCATGCTGTTTCGTATCGTAGTGCCCGTCTCTGTCTCATCGAGCGGGATACATAGTACTAATTTGACTCACTTACAGGCCTCAAACCGACGCACTCGCCACAGCCGGCTGCGCAACGGCAGCCCGGCTCTCAACACCCTGCTCGTTGTCCTTCAGACTATGCCCCGCAACATGCAGCTGCTTCACCCGCGCCTTGACGTGCTCTCCCGCCACGACGGGCTCGAACCGCGCCGGGTTCGCCGCGGACACCAGCGCCTCCAGGGGCTTCACCAGCACATCCAGGTTGAAGTGCCCAAAGAAGGCGATCGAGTAGCGGTCGGGGACCTCGGTAGTCGACGCGCCGGTCCGCGTAGCCGGGGGCTCCACGACCCGGTGCATGGTGGACGGGAGAAGACCGTTGAAGAAGCGGGAGAGAAGGTCGCCAACTATCGGAGATCAGTCAGCGTCTGCATGACCCCACCACTAGACCCGGGGAGGGGCACTCACCATTCAGAACTGCGCAGTCATCCTTGCGCGGGACATACTCATACTGCCCATCCTGGCGCAGCACCTGCAGTCCCTCGCCCGCATCGTTGAACAGCAATGTCATGCATCCGTAGTCCGTGTGCGCGGCCGCGCGCACCCGCGTGCGGAACGACTCCGGCTCCGTCGCGGGATAATGCAAGCACGCAATGAAATGGTTCTTCTCGCCGATGGCCGGATGCAGCGTCTCGGCCGCCAGCCCGACCTCCTCCGCCAGCGCGCTCAGCAGCTCGCGGATGACCCCGTGGCACGAGTCGAAGAAGCGCACCAGGTCTGCGCGCATGGCGCGAGAGTCCGCATCGCCCAGCCACTGGTTCGGCTTCTCTGTGTCGTCGTCGCGATACATGCCGAAGAACTCTTTCAAGTCGGACGTCTGTGGGTTGTGCGCCAGCTTCAGCGGGTTGGAGTAGCCCTGGCTGGGCCCGCGACCTTTCTCGAGCTGGCCCAGGATCTGCATCTTCTGGTCCAGCGGCTTGGCGAAGAAGCGCCGCGAGTGTGCGAACAGTTCGTCCACCGTGCTCTGATTGACCCCTGGGTGCTTTAGGTAGGCAAAGCCCGTGTCTCGGAGCGCTGTGAAGAGGCGATGGCGCTCGTTGATGGATGTGGATGTGCGCTGGCCCGACGCATCTTTTTCGTTGAGGGCTGCAAAGTCAATGACCGGCAGGTCGACGGTGTCTTGCTTGACCATGTTGGGCATGGGGTTGTACAGAAGGGTATATCAGGATTGTCTTCGCAGAATCTTCTCATGTGTTGGATGTCTTCATTGACGAGGCTATGCTGTTTGAGGCCAGATATACCTTTTCGCCCGTCTGGCAACATCCAGTCAACCGCCACATACTTCGCCAGCCTGCACCTTCAGTCCGATTCCTGCATGCTTCATGGGCTCTAATCTGTACATCGTATGACTCGAAACAGCTTCTGAGAGAGCGGAATCCGCCTCCCAAGAGTCGTGGTGCGGTCGCCGGAGTTCATGGTCGTCGACCGACCGTCAACTCCGGCGTCAAGTCTCCCATCCGCATTACTCCGGACTCGACCAACATAGACAACGGAGACAGACAACTCAAGAAGCAACGAACGAATCTCCTATTTGTCAGCCTCCGCAACATGACGGCGACTTTTCCCTGGTTTCTGCTTTCAACCGCCTCCGTCGTTGGTATAACTACGAGGGACATGCCACAATGCGGCCCAGTCTTGGTCTGCTTTGGATCCTCCTCCTTCCCATGGTCGTTGACAGCGATATGCTCAGAGCTGCAGCCATGAAAACCACCGCGGAGAACGCATTCCGCCTGCCCGGACTCGTTGCCGGAGGCGCAGGCCACATCCTCGTCGGCCAGAGTATCGCCGTCCAACCCAACGCCGGCGTCCGTGACAAGGACACCCCCCGCGAGCCCTGGGCGCTCAAGTCCGGTCTTTATACACCCCGCCAGCTGGTTGAGGGGTTTGCGCCTCTGCTAGACACGGTCGTGTTCCGGTTGGGCCCGGACCCGCCAAATGCGAAACCATCGCGTGCCCAGCTGCTCGACAACCTCGCCTCCAACCTCGACATCAGCACCCGGGAGGCCACTCTGCGCTTTCCTGCCACCGACCTCGATGACTCTCGTCGAGAGATCGCCGAGCAGGCCAAGCGTATTGGCCGGACGCTCGTCCAGTATGCCCGCAGCCACACAGGCGGACCCTTCAATCCCAACCTGTACCTCCGCAGTCCCTGCGAGGGCCATCTCCTCATCCCGCCCAACGTCGACCTGATGTTCGGCCGGCGCAGCCAGTCGCATCTCATGCAGCTGTTCAACGAGTACATGCACCAAATGGTTCTTCTGCGAGACGCCCTGCTGCCCTTCAAGAACTATGAGGACGTCATCATCCCCACCGACGGCCGCGCCGCGAGAGGGATTCGCCATCTCGAGTCTTCCCGGTCGGAGTTCCTCACCCAGGTCCTGACTAAGGAGGCTACCCAGTCGGCTATCATCAAGCAGGCCCAGGCTCTCCTTGCGCCGGGCCTCCGGTCTCGCTCCAGCCTGACAACCCTAAAGGCGAGCGCCGGCTACGGCTTCCAGTATGCCCATGGCCTGGTCCTGCCCGCTTTCTTGTCTGGTGGTCCAACCCCGCTCCATCTCCTCCAGTACATCCCCGCCAAGCTGGTCGACAACGCTCCCAAGGGCGTGATCTTCGACTACCGCATCGAGGATTACTACCTTGCGCCGCGCGTCGAGATCCCCGCCGGCATCGAGAAGACTCTCGCCTTCCAGGCTGCGGGATACCCCGAGGCCAACGGCTGGGGCAACCCGGTCCTCGGCGTCGAAAGCGCCAGCATCGGTGTTGTTGACTCCACGTCCGACTCGACCTCGTCGTCGCACGTGCGGCAGCTGGAACTGCAACTCCAGCTCGAGAACGGCAAGTGCATCTCCGTCGACCTGGGACAGGTCGCCCGCGGCCATCGCTACGCGTATCAGGCACCCCGGGCCAGTGACTCCGAGTCATCACCCAACGGGGAGGACGCTACGCCCACCGTTGTCTACGACGCGGCATCCGTCCTGGCGACCGGGGACGCGGACAGCCTCGTTTCAACGGAACAGGATGGTCTCCATGTGATCCCCGTGCGGGACCCGGTTGTTGCTCTGGCGCTTCTGGGCAAGATCTACCCAGGGAACGTGGTGCTATTGCCGGAGTCGGAGGGCTTAGCGCAGGCTGCAACGGCCGGGAAGGGACTGGGGGCCAAGTTCGTCCTTTGGGGTGGCGTGGAGCGTGGGGGATTACGGGGGAGGTTCTAGAGCATTGGTTTGCGAGGTTCAGTTATTGTTTTTTTTTTTTTGTCTTGGGTCGTTGTCTTCGATTAGATTATGTATTTCACATTGACTGCGCGGTAGTTCCATGATCCAAGGGCTCTAAGGCTATTCCACATCAGGAATTTCATAAGAATGCCACGAATACATACGCTATTGCCATCCATAATACACAGTAGTCATTTAGAATGATACGCAGTGGCTCGAGCCATCTACGATATAGATATACTCTCGAAGCTCAGATCGAGGGCACCAATCTTTACAAGACTTGAAAACAGCCAGTGTCATTTATGTCTACCGGTCTTATCCAGCCTCTGATCTAGCTAGTCGCCTGTCTATCCTTAGCTAGAATCTCACTAATACTAGGGAGCCCAACTTAAAGGATCATATCAAGCATTGTGCTGATATTATTCCGCCGATAGATAAAGACCATACTACTCAGAAGTGGTCCTATTCTCCTAAACTAGCGCTAGACAGAGTATGGTATGGTCCGGTGCATTGCTCGACGTAGGATGCCAGTTAGGACCCCTCGGGGTCGATATTGAAGAGTAGTCTACGGACACCTTTGAATGTAGTCATGATCACCAATCCTGAGATAACCGTTTCAGGAGAAGATCACGGTCCGTTGCTGGAACATGAGATCCACACCCCAAAATCTACCTCCGATATACCTCCCACCCAGGACACTCCTAAGAAGAAGCAACAGCGGTCCCCTTCCCCTCCGCCAACGGCAGCGAATAATCCCGGTAGAACTTCTTCCGGATGAACTCCTGGACCGTCTCCCCGCTCTTATCGTTCGGGTTCAGCGGGTTCGTCGCCTCCAGATCTCCGTGCCAGAAGGCGGGCACCGCGAACCGCTCCCCGCCCGCCTTGTTGATCACCCGGTGGAGGTTGCTCTTGTACTCCCCGTCCGTCCAGCGCTGCACCATGTCCCCCAGGTTGATGACGAACCGGTCCTCGACGGCGGGGACGGGGATCCACTGCTCCGTAGCCGCGTGGTAGACCTCCAGCCCGTGCTTCTCGGGGTCCTGGAGGAGGATGGTGAGGCCGCCGTAGTCGGTGTGCGCGCCGGAGCCGAAGATGCGGGGGTCGGTGAAGGTGTGTTCGGGGTAGCGGAGGAGTTTGAGGAACCTGCAACGGAATCCGGGTTAGGTCGATTGAACGTTGGACTGAAAGGGGGTTGGACTCACATTGCTGCGTTGCCGGTGAACGAGTCGAGGACACTGGGTGGATGACCCATGCCCACGACGAGGACCTCCATGACCTTGTGCCCGAGCGTGAGCAGGGCCTCGAAGTACGCTTCGACGGGTCCGCGGAACTGGTTCGTGGGGACCTGCTCCGGCCAGACGTTGGGTCCTTTCAGGAATCCGATCTGGTCCTGGGGGAGATCTCTTCCGACGAAGAATGCCTGCAGGAGAGATGGATCCGTCAGCCAGTCCATGGTTTCATTCCCGCTGCGCTGTACACGATCGAAAACGCCCACCAGGCCGGATCGCGATAGAGAAAGGAACGGCAGACCTCCTTCTGATCCGGCAGGACGGCATGATGCGGCGTCTGCTCCCCATACCCCTCGTACCCGCGGCGCCAGGTGTTCTTATACAGCGAGAGCTCCGCCTTCTGGTCCGTCGGCAAGTCGAAGAACGTCTTGCAGGCGGCCAGCATGTTTCGCTGAATGTCCAGCGGGACCCCGTGGCCCTCGATCTGGAAGAAGCCGTGTTCCAGACAGGCGGCGCGGACCTGCGCGACCACCTCCTCTTTACTGGTTGGGGAGGTGGGCTCGTAGTATCCCCGCAGATCGATGGTGGGAATTTCAATCTTCGTGACAGTCATATTGGTTAAATTGATTGGGAATACAATACGTTCCTGAGGAGACCAGACGAGGAAAGTCCGGAATGAATGGTTTGAAAGTCGTCAAGGATATATAGTGGGTCGGGCCTGAATGCTGCTTCTTCTTCTTCTTCGGAGAGCGTGGCCTTCGTGGACTGACTATAGTGGCCTCTTATCCGAAGATGGGAGTAGGAGGTACAGGGCAGTTTCATCATCCTCGGCGTAATTCGGTTCTGCAACCAAAGGACCGAATCGAACTGCTGAAGATTATATATCACCGAACGGAAAGAGAAATCACCGAGTGTGGGATCTTGAACTTCGGGTCTCTACGATCCAGCTCCCCAGCGAGAACTCGTGATAGAGAGGCTACTCGGAACAAGAAAGGGATCCCCTGGTCGAGATCGAGTGCCTGGTGGGCTGTGACTATGCACATCATCATCAATTTCGCCCCCCTCAACATAGACCACGGACTCAACACTACAACACCACCAACTAAACCCCATAAACCAACTTGTACCCCGAAACCGTCTGCCGCCTCATCAGATCCACGCCCTCCAACACCCCCTTCCACCCGCCACCCATCACCCGAACCGGATGCACATCCAGCTTCCCCTCATCCAACAACCCCTGCACCTCCTCCGTCAACCGCGCCCCGAACTTGCGGTCCTCCGGGTTCGCCTCCCGCCCATAGGCCCCATCCAACGCAACCTTACGCCCGAAGATCGTCAGCGCCAGCAGCCAGGACGGGGTGACGGTGTGCGAGCGCTGGGCGGCGATCGCCTCCCGGAAGGGCTCGAGGGTGACGTAGCGCCCGCCCGCGCGGCCCAGAGCGCCGTAGCAGAGCTCGGTGGTCTCGGCCAGCGCGAGGCAGTCGAGAGCGTAGGCGAGGCTGTTCTTCGTGTAGGCGCGGATGGCGGCGGCGCAGTCGGGGTCGTGGTAGTCGAAGACGGCTTCAGCGCCGAAGCGGCGGGCCAGGTCGAAGTGCGCGGGGGAGCAGGTGGCTATCGGGCGGAGGCCGGCTCTATTTTCATGTTCACGGGGGTTAGTATCATGCTTTGTACCGTACACGATTGGATGATGACGGAGGAAGTGAGGATGAGGGTAAGCGTACAGTTTCAGCAGCTGCAGTGCTCGGGTCCCCGTGGCGGTACTCCCACCCGCCACGAGGACCACGTCCGGCGTTCCAGATGGGCCACCCTCAGGCGCCGGGTTGGGCCCCCCGGTGAGAGAGGCGGGGATCTGGAGATGCTGGAAGAGAGCCAGTCCCGCGGTGAACAGCCCCAACCCCAGCGAGGCGCCTTCCTCAAAGCTCATCGCGTCCGGGATCTTGAGGACCAGGTCGGCCGAGGCGGCAACGTATTCGGCGAATGCGCCCACATCTGGCAGGAGGGGGTTCATGCCATGTACGAAGCCTGCGACTCGATCGCCGACTTTCAGATGCGGCGGAGTGTCGCTCCCCAGGGCGACGATGGTGCCCGCGAAGTCATACCCGTGGATGGCCCCGGGGACCGGGCTGTAGTCGAGCATCTTCGCATCGATTGGGTTGATGGCCACGGCGGCGGTTTTGACGAGAGCTACATCGGGGTGGAGGGCGGGCACTGGAGCGTTGTGATGGATGCTCAGTTGGCCGACGCCCTCAGCGACGATAGCGGTTTGTTGGGATGGGATCACGGGTGTGGCCGAAGGCATTTTGGCGACGTGGATGTGGGTGTGGATGTGAATGTGGATGTGGATGTGGATGTGGATGACAGGCCATTCCTGATGCCTCGAGCGTCCTTTGAAAGGACCATTGCCCTTATGGGTAGGGATATGGTTGATAGCGTATGTTCTGGGGGGGGTGGAGGAGGAGGAGGAGGAAGATAAGAAGCAATAAAACCACCGAAGACCGTAGTGGTCCTGGCGTGTAGCTGCAGGATATTGTCGGGGATTTCTCCTTATTACATCTAAACAGAACCAAATGCAACTCAATGGAACTAAACAGTCAGGGGCCACGGAGATAGGGGGTTAACACTGTCAGCTTCCGACTCATGCAGGCATTCATGTCAACTTCGTCTCTCAACTCGGCCTTTCGGTCTTCCGAAACGCGAAACTAGACGTGTCAGGGAACTGTTCCCTCCCTGCTATCTGTCCATATCGATTTCTCGATCGTTGCTGAAGTCTTCTCTCCCAATCGCTCCTCCATTCTCTTCCTGACAACAGGACCAAGAATGCAGTCCGAGAGCAAGTCGGTCCAGGAGGGCCAAGTCAGCGCCAGTTCGGAAGAAGCAGCCTCAGCAGGGATCCCGGAGGCAGAGAAGGGCCAGACAGCCCAGACAATGGACTGGGATGGCATCGATGATCCGGTAAGGACTTGATGGACGGACCGAATCTTCTCAGGCACAGTTAACTTGGTTGGGTGCGCCCACAGGATAACCCACGCAACTTCACCACCGTGAAGAAGATCTATATCACGGCCAACCTCGCCATCTTAACGTGCCTCTCGACCTTTGCCTCTTCCATTCTCAGTCCGGCCAGTCTCCATCTCATGACCGAATTTGGAATCTCGAAAGAGGTATCGATTCTGGCAACGTCGTTGTTCGTGCTGGGCTACGCCTTCGGACCCTTGGCTTTTGGCCCAGCCTCCGAGGCCCTCGGTCGCAAATATCCGCTCAGTCTCGGGTTCATCCTCTTTGGCATTTTCGCTATCCCGGTCGCCGTCGCGAAGAATGTGGCCACCATCTTCATCTGTCGATTCCTGTGCGGCGTCTTTGGAGCGGCCCCGTTAGCCATCGTGAGTCGGTGCCTCCCCACAGCCCAAACGCAACCACACTAAAAAGAAGGAAAAAAAAAAAACACGCAGGCCGGAGGATCTCTCGCTGACCTCTTTGATCCGCTCTTCCGGGGCATCGCCGTCGCCGGATTCGCCAGCGCGACCTTTCTGGGCCCCGTCTTGGGCCCCCTGGTCGGGGGCTTCGTGACCATGTCCCCCCACCTCGGCTGGCGCTGGACGCAGTGGCTCGTCGTGATCTTCAGCCTCTCCTTCGGCCTCCTCTACTCCCTCACCGTCCCCGAAACCTACAGCCCCGTCGTCCTCACGCGGCGCGCGCACAAACGCGGCCTCCACGACGCCCTCCCCGCGCGCCCGAAGATGACGCTCCAGACGATCGGGCGCGGCTACATCTTCAAACCGTTCCTCATGCTGTCCCAGGAGCCCATCCTGGCCCTGATCACCCTCTACATGGGCTTCATCTACGGGTTCCTGTATCTGTGCTTTGAGGCCTACCCGATCACCTTCGAGCAGCAGCGCGGGTGGAACCTGGGCGTCGGGGCGCTGCCCTTCCTCGCCATCACCGTCGGGGTCCTGGTCGGCGTGGTGATCATCATCGTGCATACCAAGACCCGGATGCAGCGCAAGCTGCAGCTGCACGGGGAGGATGTGCCCGAGGAGCGGCTGGTGCCCATGATGGTGGGGAGTGTGCTGCTGCCGATCGGGATGTTCTGGTTTGCGTGGACGTCGAACCCGCACATCATCTGGGTGCCGCAGGTGATCGCCGGCGGGTTTATGGGCTGTGGGATCCTGTTGATCTTCTTACAGGGCTTGAATTACTTGATCGATGTGTACAAGATGAACGCCAACTCGGCCATCTCGGCCAATGCGATGTTCCGGGGTCTGCTGGGGGCGGGCTTTCCTTTGTTTGCTACGTATATGGTCTGTCCTCTGTCCGGTTCTCTGACTCACTCTTTGCAGATCATGTTCGAGCTGACTGGATTTCTTGCCTACAGTTCGATAATCTCGGCGTGGCATGGGCGATGTCCCTGCTCGGATTCCTGTCCACGGCACTCGTGCCGGTCCCGTTTCTGTTCTTTATTTATGGGGCCAAGATTCGGAAGTGGAGCAAGTTCAGCCCGTACTAGGGGGCTTACGGCGGATGGATTCATAATCAGGTCAATTGGATGTAATTAGATGCAGAAGACTAGGGTAGAAGAGAGCCAATCGTAAATCTTCCATATCGCTTAGTTCGCGTGTAGGGCAATTTCCCCATCGGGCCCGGGTGCACTCCGGACAGTACTTTGGTCTTTGATCCTTCTACGTAGTATATTGATCCTAATCTGCTTTGGTCTGTGATCCTTCTACGGAGTATATTGGCCCTAATCTACATAGCGGCACAGGATGGCGCCATAATGGGCCTATGTCGTACTATGTCCTGATACCCCTCACAAAGAAAGACACCTTATGCGGGAGACTGGGAATGGAACGGCTAATTACGGCGTAGACAGAAATACTAATGCACGGGATAGTTCATCCCTGTCATCATTGACCTCATAGCTATCCATTCACATCTTTCCTCTCCAACAGAAAAAAAGATCATCGGTCTAGTTGCCCGTCATCACGCCCCAATCCCCCTCCGTCCACACCAGTTTCATCTTCCACACCTTGATCTTCCACAACCCGTTCGCATCCGCGGCGTCTTTGGCCACATCGATCGAGTACAGCGCCCCGCTCGTCAGCCGGGTGGTGTCCGGCTGGTTCCCCTGGCCCGTGCGGAAGTGCTGGGCCATCGCCGACGCGGTCACAGTCGCGGTCGTGCTGTCCTCGGAGGGGAGGTTGATGCGCACGTTGCTCAGGAAGTGGGTGGTGTCCAGCTTGGAGACGTTGTCCCAGCTGCCGGACTTGATGGCATCGCGGCCCTGCATCACGCTGCCGTTGAAGTCGAAGGCGGCGTCCTCGAAAAAGGCGGACTCGAAGAGGGGGAGGTCATTCTCGTCGAAGGAGAGGACGGCGCGGTAGACGGGGTCCACGATCGCCTCGCGGAGGGGGAGGGCGGGGAGGGTGGCCTGGACGGTTGGGAAGGACATGGCTTTTGGAATGGGGCGGTGGTCACTCTGGAGGTAGATTGAATTGAGTCCCTTGGGGTTGGCTTTCTGTTGACTTCGCTTGAGGAAGGGGATTATATACCCAGTTTCCCTCATGGGACCACCGACGGAGATTCAGACCAGACCGCGTCTCCTTCGGTCGAGGGGGTTAAATCCGCCGCTAATCTCCGTAGCCCTAACCTGGCAGTGCCAATCATCGTGGCCATTGAGTCATGTCCCCCGCTAAGAAAATCCCTCATTGTGACCGGAAGTGCAAAGGAGGAGGAGGAGTATAAAAGCTCCTCGACGAACTTATTCCGGTTGACCTACAATGCTTATGGAATAGTTGCCGGTCCCACTGGACTACTACATGCACATATGCTCCACGGCTGACGGGGGCGTAAGCTTGGATATTGCTTATCTCTTCTTGGCTCCTCCGTTCCCGTCTCCTCCCGCGCCATGTCGATCCCTGACTCGCTTACGAGCTCGGGAGAGTTTCCCTTCGGCCCCTTCGGTCGATCGAGCGTTCTTCAGGTACCCCTCACCTGGCTTAAGAATGACTACTGACAGCTTGGTGGGAGCAGAAAGCGGAGATGTGCCAAAATGCAACACACCGCTGCCCTTCCTAAGCGTTTATCCTGCGATCGCTGCTACGCCCAGAAACTGCGGTGTCCGCGGTCCAGTACGAGTGATGATCCGAGCTGTATTCGATGTCTCCGTCAGAAGGTGCAATGTGTCTATAGCACTGCCTTGCCCAAGGGTCGGCCCCGTGCGGCGGCCCGTGCTTCTGCTGCGGGAGGGGCAACGACGACGACGACGGCAACGGCAACGACGGCCCCGTCGATCTCAGATACCGCCCCTCCCATTTTCTCCGCCGAAGACCTGGCCTCGTTCACCAGTTGGCTCCCCGATCCCACTTGGGGGGATCCTTTGGGCTTCTTCCCGCCCCCCGTGGTGCCGCAGCCGCCACCGCTGGATACCACTCCTCCCCCTCGTGCCTCCTCCGCATCGGTCTTGGAGAACCCTGAACAATGCGTTGGGCGGCTCTCAGCGTTAGCCACGCGTCTCCACGCCGTCTACCGAACCACCCGAGCGCTGTCGGATCATCCCCTCATCACCAATGCCGCCTTCGAAGCGGTTGCCACCCTCTTTAATGTCCCCTCGTCCTCGTCCTCGTCCCCTCCGAGCACGACCACCGCCGCCACCAACCTCCGCGAAACATTCACATCCTCCCACCACCTCCTCGAAATCATCTCTCATCTCCTCGGGACCACACCCACCACCGATTCATCACCTGCACTCGTTGCGGACGAAACAGTCATCTACCACTTCACCATCGCCTGCTACAGTCTGCTCCTCCTCATCTACGCTACCCTCCTCACCGCCCTCCACCGCGATGCCCTAACTCACGCCCAGCCGTCATTGTCGACGACGACCACCACCACCAACACTCCTACCGGCCGCGACAACACCAGCACATGGTGCTCAACCCGCTCCCTCGTCGAACTCCGCCTCTTCCTCCTCTTTCACTTGATCACCTATTTCCTGGATCGTCTCCAGCAATCCGTCAGGATGTATACCGCCCAGTTTGAAAAGCAGACCATCCACAGCACGACCACTACCGCCGGGAAACGACCACCACCACCAACACGCAGGAGATGGAGCGACGAAGCAGCGGAGGAGGTGATGATGGTCGAAGAGCCCTGGGAGCAGCACATCGCGCCCCCGCCTCCTCCCGTCTTCCCCTCGTCCTCTCTGGGCTCGATTTCCGAATTAGAGACCCGCGCGCGATCGGCGTTGATGCAGTTGCGCCTGTCGTTGGGGGCTGCTCGGGGTGGGTTGGTGGATGTGTAGAGTGTATTTCTGCTGGGGCCGTCCTATGAGTTTGACTGGGGGAATGTGTAGAACCTTCTCTTTGGTGGAACACATGCGTTATGACTGTTTCGTAGATGTTTTGAGTTGATATTAGTCTTGCGTTTATCTGGGTAGAATTCGAAGCCGAACGCGGCAACCAAGATAGGAATGACATAGCGTTTTATCATCTTGACTCGGATCGGAGTAAGAGGACATGTTGGTGCTTTCGATCCTATCTCTCCAGTTCCGATATAGGGCCCAAGATTCCTCGAGCGAAAAGAGAATACATAGATGGATCAACGATGTTATGCTCCCGTCCCACACCCAGTTCAAGAGATCCATGGATCATCGTCGCTCCCCGCCCCAGAAATCAAAAATCAAGCAACCACCCTCGCCCTCACCCGCACTTCCAACTCGGGCTTCTGCCAAAGCCTCATCACCCGACACCGCTGCAACCAATCCTGACGCGACCCCTCCGCCAACTCCATCTCAAACGACCAGACCATCTTGGCGAGGATCAACCGCATCTCCGCGTAGGCCAGGTTCCGGCCGAGACAGCTGCGGGGCCCGAAGCTGAACGGCTGGAACGCGGCGCGCTTGTCATGGACGTATCTCTCGTCTCCGAGCCTGGCGCATTGTCAAATCCCGATTAGTTAGCTCAGTTCAATCAATCTATCTATCCTTACAGACTAAAGATGAAGGGGATACGAACCACCGCTCCGGAACCCAGCTCTCCGCATCCCCGAAATTCCGCTCCGAGTGATACGCCGCGTAATGACTGACCGAGACAACGGTCCCCTCCGGCATCCAATACCCGCTCACCATCTCCCCGCCCGCGGGGACCCGGCGGATGAATCCCACCGGCACGGGCGGGAAGAAGCGGAGGGCTTCGGCGATGACGGCGTTCAGGTACGGGGTCCGCTTGGCCACGGCCTCCAGCGTGATGGACTCGTAGGTGGGGAATTCCGAGCGGATCTCGTGCTGGAGCGTGCGGAGGACGCGCGGGTGCGTGAGGAGGAGATACGTCGCCCCGCTGAGTAAGGTGGCCGTGGTCTCGGAGCCCGCAGTCGTCATTAGCGTCGCGTTGGAGTCGATCTCCGCCCGGGTGAGCTTCACGCCCCGGGTGTCGTTGTTGGCGAGGATGTGGCTCATGAAGTCGGGCCGCGGGGTGGCGGTGTTGATTCGTTTGGTGACTTGGGTGGAGACCCAGGTCTGGCATTGTCCTCGGCCGTGTTAGCATGCAGGGGGGGGTGTATACTAGGATACTGGAGACTGTACCGCGTATTCCTTTCGTTTCTGGATGAGGCCTTTGTCGACGATGAGGTTGCCGAGGAAGCGGAGCCACGGGTAGTAGGCGAGGATGTAGATCATCCGGAGGGATTTGAGCGATTCGAAGAGGAGGGCGACGTATCGGTGGGTCGAGAGGTCTTGGAGGCAGCCAAAGGGCTCCCCTGCAGTCCATCAGGAATCATCGAGAGTACCGCGGCCAGTGAGAGCAAGCTTACCGAAGAGAAGATCCGCAATCACATCAAACGTCGTCCAATTGTACCATTTCACCATGTCCACCGGCTCGTCGTTGGCGGATGTCACTTCCTTCAGTCGATCGATGAGTTGATTGACGTAGCGCTGGACCAGGGGCTCCTGGCCCATGAGCGCCTTGTCGCTGAAGGCATGGGCGAGCACACGACGGCCTAGCGAGAGGGTCAGCAGCATGGAGTGGAACGGAGAAGGAGACAGACACACCTCGAGAGTGGTCCTCATCATTTGCCTGCAAGATAGATGGCGCCCCATTGCTCGGAGTCACATACCACACCGGGTCCTACTGAGGTTGGCCGATACGCTTCATCAGGTGGGAGGTGGTTCGAATAGCCTACCTTGGCCATATTCAAATGCCCTTTCATCTTTCCCGTCCGAAACCCTGCAGACAACCGAATGAGCCCGTGATCTGCCTTATGTTCTGCGATCTGGGGAATACACTACCATAGATATCGGGAAACGCCGTCTCGCCACAAATGAGGGACACCTCGTTGGGCGAGATGCGTACCACGTCCCCGTACCGTCGGTGCAGAGAGACAGAGTTTTGAACCGTCGTGCCGGCAAGCAAATGTCTCGCGTACGGGATCATGGACACTGCATTGAAACGAGGCCCCGGAATATGGCGGAGGGGATCCAGACAGAGCGCGTAGATCACCTTGCTAAGAAGGTAGATGAAGGTCTTTCCAGAGAAGGTGAGTCAATCAATGGACATGCTCCTGTCCAGACAGAAGAACCAACGTACCAATCCGGCAGCGATCCCTAGAATGGCTCGCGGTGTTGCCAACCGCTCTGCTCTCATGGCGATGTCCATGACCAACGTGCCTATTGCCATTTTGGTTCCAGTCAAAGGTGTTTCAGCGCTGGAGGAGACCGACTGCAGCTAAGCTAGGTGCGCATCCAATACTTCGACCGAGTATATATTCTGAAACCACTCAGCTTTTTCCCTCGCCGAATGTTCAACGCGTATACTGGAGTGATGAAGTGGCTAGACGAACTCTCTCATTGGATATGAGAATTAGCGCCTCGTGCCAATTTTCGGTGCTTTGTACCAGACAATCCGTCGGACATCGGTGGTTTCAAAGGTGAGATAAAGCAATAGTGGCCGAATTGTTGAGACGAAACGACGGCCGAAACGCCCGGGCGCCGCGATTAGGGCTCGAACTAACTCTGCAGACCCCGACGGGTGATCAATCGGCGATTTAGTACATGTCCAAGATTTGACGAACCCAGGCGTATCACAATGGATCGAAGCTTTCGTTTAATAAGGCACACATCCTGGACAGGAGCATCAGTCAAACAGTTGCAACAGAACAACACACAACCATGGTCCCTCATCCACAACCCGAACCCATCGCCATCGTGGGCAGCAGCTGCCGCTTCCCCGGCGGTTCCAGCTCCCCATCCCGCCTTTGGCAGCTCCTGTCCAACCCGCAGGATGTCTCGAAAGAGATCCCGGAGGACCGCTTCGAGCTGCAGGGGTTCTACCACCCCAAGGGCGCCCACCATGGGACGACCAACGTGCAGCGCGCCTACATGCTGGACGAGGATGTGCGCATCTTCGACGCCGGCTTCTTCAACATCAGCCCCAACGAGGCCGACTCCATGGACCCGCAACAGCGGCTGCTCATGGAGGTCGTCTACGAGGCGCTCGAGTCCGGAGGCCATCCGTTGGAGGGGCTTCGAGGCTCCGACACCGCCGTCTTTGTCGGGACGATGTCGGTCGATTATAACGATATCCTCATTCGGGACCTGGAGAGCACCCCGACCTACTTCTCCACCGGTACCTCGCGCGCGATCCTCGCCAATCGGATCTCGTATTGCTTTGATTGGCATGGGCCGTCGATGACTATCGATACGGCGTGCTCTTCGAGTATGGTTGCTCTGCATCAGAGTGTGCGGGCTTTGCGGGCGGGCGAGGCGCGGGTCGCTGTTGCCGGAGGAACGGAGTTGTTGTTAGGGCCTGGTATGTATCCATCTATCGATCCGGGGCCCACAACCGGCAGAATGACTGACAGTCGAGCACATAGAGCAATTTGTGGGAGAAAGCAAAATGAACCTTCTCTCGCCAACCGGGCGATCGCGCATGTGGGACGCCGATGCTGACGGCTATGCGCGTGGCGATGGTGTCGCGGCCGTCATCCTGAAGCGCCTGAGTGATGCCATCGCCGATGGAGACCACATCGAGAGTATTATCCGCGACACCGGGGTCAATCAGGACGGCAAGTCCACCGGGCTGACGGTCCCCAGCTCTGAGGCTCAGACAGCCCTCATCCGCAGCACCTACGCCCGGGCCGGTCTCGACCTCAGCAATCCCGACGACAGGCCGCAATTCTTCGAGGCGCATGGGACGGGAACCAAGGTTGGCGATCCTCGCGAGGCCGCTGCCATCAGTGGCTGTTTTGGCAGCCAGCCCATCCACGGCAATCCTCTGTATGTCGGCTCGATCAAAACGATCATCGGCCATACGGAGGGGACGGCCGGGTTGGCCGGTGTGTTGAAGGCGTCGCTGGCGATCCAACACGGTGTGATCCCGCCCAACATGTTGCTCAACCGGTTGAATCCGGATGTAAAGCAGTACTACACAAATCTGCAGATCCCGACTTCCCCGATACAGTGGCCGGCCTTACCGGCAGGGGTGCCGCGGCGGGCCAGTGTGAATAGCTTCGGTATGTTTCCTGCCTTTGGGCTACCGCGATGGGTGGGATTGTGATCGCTCTTCTCTAATCGTCGAACAGGTTTTGGAGGTACAAATGGCCACGCAATCATCGAGGGATACGAGCCGACGGTAAGTAAAAGCGATGAGGAACAGCAGCAGCCCGTAGTACCAGTAACTCCGTTCGTCTTCTCGGCTACGACGGAGGAGACCTTAGTCGCTCTTCTTCAATCGTACTCGGACTATCTCAAGATCAATCCGACCATCGACCTCCACAGCCTCGCCTGGACATTACAATCTCGTCGGTCAGCCTTTGCTTTTAAGTCTGCCGTGGCCGCCTCCACCATAGACGGTCTCGTCTCCCGTCTGGAAAGCAAAGTCAAGCAAGCAAAGAGCACACCACCGACCCCAGCCGGCGTGCGCTCGACCCCAGCGACGCCGCACCTGCTCGGGGTTTTCACCGGCCAGGGAGCACAGTGGCCAACAATGGGTGCCCACTTAATCCGATCCTCGGCCACCGTGCGTGCAAAACTGGAGCAACTGGACCACTCCCTGGCCACGCTACCAGAAGCCGACCGTCCCTCCTGGCGGATCGCGGATGAGCTCCTGGCTCCAAAGGGGGAGTCTCGCCTCAGCGAGGCGGCTCTCTCACAGCCCCTGTGCACCGCAGTGCAAGTGGTCCTAGTTGATCTCCTGCGCAGCGCAGGCATCACCTTCGACGCAGTGGTGGGCCACTCCTCCGGCGAGATTGGCGCAGCCTACGCGGCCGGCTTCATTTCCGCCCACGACGCCATTCGCATCGCCTACTACCGTGGTGTGCACGCCAAACTGGCGCACGGACGGACAGGCCAGAAGGGCGCGATGCTGGCGGTCGGAACCTCTTGGGAAGACGCCCAGGAATTGATCGACCTGCCCGCGTTCGCGGGCAAAATCCGCATCGCCGCGCATAACTCGGCCGCCAGCTTGACGCTGTCCGGTGATGCCGATGCCATTGCCCATGCCAAGCGCGTCTTTGACGAGGAGAAGAAATTTGCGCGGCTTTTGCTGGTTGACACGGCCTATCACTCCCACCATATGCTTCCGTGCAGTGGACCGTATATTGAGTCCCTGCGCGCGTGTCAGATTCAGGTTATCAAGGACCGGGATTCTTCGTGCACCTGGTTCTCGAGTGTGCGGGCCGGTGGCAAGCCTATGGCGGCGGTTGAAGAGCTGCAGGATGTCTATTGGAGTGACAATATGGTCAACGCGGTCTTGTTCGCCGATGCGGTGAAACGTGCCGCCGCCAACGAGACTCTCAACCTGGCCATCGAGGTTGGGCCTCATCCGGCGCTGAAGGGCCCAGCACAACAGAACATCTCCGATGTGCGCCCTTCCTCCCCACTTCCGTACACGGGGCTGCTTAGTCGAGGGAGCAGCGATGTCGAGGCGTTCTCCGATGCTCTGGGCTTTATGTGGACGTATCTTGGCCCGGGCACCGTGGGCTTCCAGTCCTATACCCAACTGGTGACCCCAGCAGCGCCAGCGCCAAAGCTCCTTGTTGGGCTGCCTTCTTATCAGTTCAGCCGCGATCGAGTCCATTGGCATGAGTCTCGTCGAGCGAAGAAGATGCGACAACGCGGTGCCGCCTTCCATGACCTTCTCGGTGTGCCATCCCCCGACAACACCGACCAAGACCTCCGCTGGACCAACTTCCTTAAAACCAGCGAGATCTCTTGGTTGGATGGGCATCAGCTCCAGGGGCAAACCGTCTTCCCCGCGGCAGGGTACGTGGCTATGGCGCTGGAAGCCGCCAAATGGCTGGCCGGGGATCGGAGTGTGCAGGTGCTGGAAGTCCGCAACCTGACCATCGACCGTGCCATCACCTTCGACGACGGGGCGGGCTTCGCCGTCGAGACCCTGGTGGCTCTGACTGGGATCAGTCCGAGGAGCGCATCAACGAACAACAGCAGCAGCCAAATGGCCGACTTCGCGGTCTACGCTTGTCCGAACACGGGCTCGCTGGGCATGGAGCTAGTCTCAAGTGGCCAAGTGCATGTTGTCTACGGCGCACCATCCTTCTCGGTCCTCGCCTCCACTCCCCTGGATGACTCGAACATGACCGCCATCGACCGTGAACGGTTCTACTCCACCCTTTCCGATTTGGGGTATGGCTACAACGGCCCCTTCCACACCTTGGCCGAGACGAAACGGCGATTGGGCCAGGCCTCCGCCACCGTAGCCACGTACGCGTACTCCGATGACGAGCGGCCTCTGATTGTCCATCCGACTATGCTGGACGTGGCTTTCCAGGCCTCCTTTCTGGCGCAGACCAGCCCCGGCGACGAGCAGCTGTGGTCCCTCCACGTGCCGACCTCCATCAAGTGCGTCCGCGTCAACCCAGAGCTGTCGGCCTCGCTGCCCTCGGCCTCTGTCGAGCTGCCTCTGTCCGCCGTGTTGCATGAACCGGAGTCCATCTCGCTCTACAGCAGCGTGGATGTCTTCTCCGAGGACGGGCGCGAGACCTTGCTGCAGGTGGAAGGGCTGGTCATGAAGCCCTTCTCCCCTGCCACGGCCGCTGACGATCGTCCCATGTTCTCCACTACGGAATATGGTGTCGCGGTACCCAATGCGGCTGTCGCCACTGGGCATGAGCACCCAACTGAGGAGGAGGTCGCGTTGGCGGAGGCTTGCGACCGGGTGGCGTATTACTATTTGCGCGCGTGGGAGGCAAAGGCGGGTGATGAAAAGGAGAGTCTCCGCCGTCTGTTGTCGACCTTTGCAAGCGGACAGCATTCATCGGCGACAAAAGCGTGGATCAGCGACGGGAAAGAGGCTATCCAGGCGTTGATCAGCCAGTATCCCGAGAGCACCGACTTGCAGCTCCTTGCGACTCTAGGAGACAGCTTCCCAACGGAGACCCTAGCTCAGCCGCTCCTCGATGAATGCTTCACTCGCGGCCTAGGGTTTGCTCGCGCAAGCGCTGGCCTGGCACGGACGGTGCAGCAGATCTCTCACCGGTACCCACATGCGAAGATTGTCGAAATCGGTAAAGATTATCAACCCCCCCCCCAACCGATGAAAGTACTGAAATGCTAACAATCGTACCAGGGGCTGGACGCGGTCATGTCACCGAAGCTGTCCTCAGCGCCATCGGCAACGCCTATTCGTCTTATACCTTTACCGACACCTCCGATGACATG